GTGCATACCTATTTTTGACAAGACTTCATCAATAGGCCGAAAATTCAACAGAAAACAAACGCTATATTTTCGCAATAAGATGAACTTTGTACGTATTCTTAAAGACAGAAGAAACTGATAGTCGATAAAGAATAAGAAGGATATCGAAGTGAAGCTCAACTGAACCTAACTGACATGAGAAACTGAAGATATAACCCAGAATTCTGGATATCGAATAAGGTTAGAACTGAAGCATAGTTAAGTGTACTCACTTTGCGTTTTAGGAGACAGATTGGATGGATTTGAGTTGGTAACATTATTCGACTCTACTTGTGCTTCTGGAGAAATTCGTGACGAAGAAAAACCTAACATCTATCGTTTGCCGCTCCCTAGATATTTGTTCACCTTGTATTAATTGCCGCTTGGTCACTGTCGATTGTCGAGAATGAATGCACCATATAATTTATGATTTCTTCTATCACAATAACAAAAGTTTATTGCACATAATTAGTTACTTACTCTTTTCATCCTAGAACGAGCAGTACAATAGTCGTAAATGATCATATACGACATCATATGCTATCGTATACAGTCATACAGTGCAAAATACGCCATACGCGATCCTATATGCACTGTAAAAAGTCGTAGAATAATAAATCCTTAAAGGGTTTATGAAAGTCCAACGTATAAAATATCCTTCTGAACTACCCAGGTCAATCATGGTCGGCCGTACACTAACCAATCACGGCGGATAACGGCGGCTGTTTACGGTAGCCGTCTACAGCAATGGTAAACGACACTTTACGGCATATTACGACCATTGTAAACAATGTCTATAAAAGGTCGCCGTAAACCACTAGTGTAATAATACGGCGACTGTATACTTTGCTCGGCAAACATCGTTAGACATCGTATACTTCAGCTGTTCGCGGTAGCCGATTACAACAGTCGTAGATGCTGCTTTACGGCCTATTACGACCATTGTAAACGATGACCGTAGAATGTCGTCGTGAACGACTACTGTAGCAATACGGTGCCTTTATATGTTAGCGTGATAAAATGTCGTAAGACAACGTGTAAGTTGGCTGTATACGGTAGTCGCACACAGCGATCGTACACACTACTTTACACGTTCGGTTCGAATGAGAACTATGAACTTTGATTATTTTCGATAAGTTTATCGTACATTTTGTCATGTCTAAATTTAAGACGCCTTGGTCGGCTTCGGAACGAAGAAAATGTTTTTGTCACCATCCCATTAGAAATCCATAAAGTTCGACAGGGTTAAGTGTATCGATTTTCCCTTTAATGTTTTTTTTAAGCTGCTTAGATAATCAGAAAGATCTGAAGCAATTTGTGAAGTTGTTGAAAAATAGTTTTTTAGTTGGAAGCCCATTTAAAGGCGTCTTGAATTGATCTACAAAAGGCCCATATAATGCAGAATGTTTCTCTTCATTAGGATCTACAAGAATATCTCTGACATCAAAGGCTTTCCTTTCGATAAATGGCAAATATCGCTCCACTTAGGTTGTATTATATCTAAAAATCCGTTTTTCGATTATTATGTAATTAGGATTTTTTTTTTCGAATGTTCTTTTTCTATGGCTACAATGTGGTCTGCACTTTTTTGGTACTATTTTTTACCTTTAAATTCGATATTTAGTATAGAATTCTTGCCCTAACCAAGATATGCAATTGTTAAATTATAACTTTTTCGAATAATATTCGATGATTTTCAGGTAGAGATAATCCCATTTGATTTCAAAAGAGGGGTATTTTAAAGCAACCACCAAAACTCAATCGATAAGTGTATTTAAATAGCTTGTGCGACTTTTGGCCCCGCATGATGTTCACCCATGGACTCCTTCAATAAATAAAGAGAAATGGATTTTATAAAGGTCTTGTCAGAAAACAGAGTTTTGATGAAAAGGTTTTGTTGGATAAGTATATGGGCATGTTACCTGGAGTGCCGAATATGACAAATGATATAAGAGAATTTTAATTCAGGAAAGTTTTCGGGAGTTTTATGAGTAACCTTTGAAACCATTTGGACAAGTACTGATGTCTCTAGTAGTCAGTACATTTTTTTTCTTCCAGTTAGATTGTCGTAACCAAATGCTTTTATAAAGGTGATATAGATCTTGCGCAGCTTGAAGATATACTCTTGATATCCTCCGTAATTTAGCATTGCTGATGCAAATAAGAGTGCGACTAACGAGAAAATTCTAAACACCTGATGGCATATGGGAGCTCAGGATGCCAATTTAAAACATGTTCTTTATTTAAATTTAATGGAGATAATTTATACCTGAAGATAGTCGAATAATAGTCGAAAAAGTATAAAGCTAGCAATCATATACCTTGATTTGAGCCAAAGTCCTTAACTGGATATTTAATTCTAAGTAGAAAATGACATCAATAAAGCTGCAGATTGAATGGTATATTTCGTAAAAATATGGAGCTGACATAAACGTAGAAACTTTAACTTCATAATAATTCAAAAATACTTTATTAGGCATAAGAGAATTCGACCCGCGGGAGAGGGGGGGGGGAGTATTTGACATTTATCGATAGACGAAGCATCAAATGTTTAGGATATTGTAGTCAATTGTAATGGGAAAAATCATTCTGCTTAATCCGAACGTATTGTTAACAAATCTAGTTCTGCTTTTAATAATCTATGTAGCAGAGACCGAAGCAGTCTAGCTTTCACAGACTTTGACTGCTCTAGAGAGCGTATGAACCTCTTCCGGTTGCCTGTACCTGCTGTTTGTTTTCATCGATCTGGCCTGGCTATGTGTTAAGATATTTCCACTGTATTTTTCACGCGAATATTAGAAGAAGTCTTCAATAGAAGTAGAGAACAGAAATAGGATCAGTTCAGGCTTTTCAAAACTTAAACATAACTGGACTGAATTCTTTTTTAAAAAGAACTGAGCCGAACTGGTCCCATCTCTGGTAGAAAGCTATCTTTATCAGAGAAAGAAGTTACTGATATCAAAGTATCATGATTAATCAGAAAATCTAATGATTTACTCTACTATGTGGCTGCTGACTAGAGCCAACCAATATTAACATATGAGAGAAACTCTATTCTTTCGGCAATAATCTATGGAATTCATTTAAACAACGTGCTCAAGAAGATCTATCAAGTACTGGATTCAGCTATATTATAACTGTATAAATATAAATCAGTAACATAAAACTTCTTAAACGCTTTCTATAAAAACCTTTAATCATAATGAAAGCAAATCTGCGAAGAATAGCGTCCCAAAGTGAATAAATTTAATACATAAAATAGGCTCGATGCAATGCGGCGACAATCCATCAATAGTCAAGATTGTATGGGAAGGCTTTTAATTAAAAAAACCCATTTCTCATCTTCCCTGGCAAATATTTTCTAAATTACAGTGTGATGCATTCTCTTTCTGATAAAGAATGGACTTTCTCAATAAAAACTTCATGAAAATATGGTAGTTGGACAGGTGTAGTGACCTATCAGGGTCTCTGATTTACGGTGAAAATTTGCTTTTTTAGAGTTTCCAGACAGCGCATCAGCTTTTTCTGACTATATTTAGCACTTTAAAAAGATGCAATATTTCTGGTGAGTGCATCTAGCCTCATCAGACTACATAGATTTCCAATAGAACAACCAAAAAAAATTTACTCGCCTGAAGCAGAGCCCAGATTTTTAAAAACTCACTTGTGATAAATGAAAAAGACTATCAAAAGCATAAGAGGTTAATGATAACTCTCCTTCTCCTCAGATTAAGCGAAGTTTTTTAGGGCGCTAGATCTCTTATATGATATAGCTCCTTTGTATTTCAAATGTATACCAACAGAAAAGCCGTTTCTTAATTGGAAAATCTATATATAGTGGATGTTGCGATGGATAAACGATATTTCGTTTGAAATACACATAAAGCGCTATAAAACGCAATACTTTCTTAATCAAAACTAGCAGCTGATTTTTTATTTTAAATCAAAAAAATCACGAAAAAAAATCAAAAAAATCTGATTTTAGCTGTTTCCCCCTTGAAGAAGCCTCTTGATATTCTGAAACGTAATTATAATCAAGTAAATTTTTAAGGTAATTGATGACGTATGTTTGAGCAGCAATTGAAATGCGTTATACGTAAGTTGAAATCGCTATTTCGTAAATACACCCACACCCTTGTTATAAGCTGGAAGGCAAGTTATTGCATGTTCTTTCGCAACACTTGCAAGATGAGTCCGCGAATTATTTGTTTTTGTTTCTTTCTCAATATTTTTGTTGAGTTGAAAACATGAACATTTGCTTTTTTTTCTTTATTATATATATTGACAGATGACGCAATATTAAGTATTCTTATTCGATGTATACATATAGTCGTGATGTTTAGCTGAAAACAAATTCGTTACACTTGTAGATTAGACGAACCACAACTCATGTCTGCTAAAAAGAAATCTTTACTTGAAACGTTATCTGTTGAGCTTGTTCATCGAATATTCGATCACATCAATACAGAAACAATTGTTGTCTCAATTCGGTATGTATGCAAACGACTCTATTCCATTACTAATACCTACAATCGCTTTGATCTAGACTTTCGTTATATGTCAAAATCTGACCTGCCTTTTATGGCACGTATTATTGATCCAAAAAATATTATTTCACGTACGCTTTCAGATGAAATACAAACACCAGGTCAAATTCGATCATTTCTTAATCATTTTCATATTGACCAATTCATTCGACTATGCTCATTGAATCTTATTAAAGTTGAATCCAAAGATTTGAATACATTTCAAAAACATATCATCAACTGCCCACTTACAACATTCTCAGTTGCATCTCATGCGTATTATAAAGACGGTCCGACAGAATTTATATCATCTATTATATCGCACAATAATCTTCGTAAATTCGAATACACGGGATATTGTAACATTTTCGATAAAATACAATTGCCAATTCAATGTAGATTGAAACACTTAACAATTAGTCATTCCAATTAGTACACAGTTTATTCTGTTATTTTTTACTCATCTTATCTGCAAACACTTGTTGTAAAAAGTGTTACGTGCAATCAATTCGATTCGGCTACTTTTACATATTCTGATCTTTCACAGTCAAGTGATTTAACTTCGCTCTCGTTAAACTTCAATTATGACATACCAATGAACGATGTTGAATTAGTTCTTTCATGTTTACCTATGCTAACGCATCTTCGGCTGATTTGCGAAAGATGAAATTATCTCTATTGAACAGGTTTGAATTCTGATTTACTTGTCTTACACGCACTGATTCAAGTTGTATTACTGTAAAATCACTGATTGAACCATTTCGAACATCATTCTGGCTCGGAATCAAACATTGGCTTATCAAATGT